GGGCCAGGCAGGGTGGGATAGAGTGGGTTCATTGGCAGGATACACACACATGACAAACAGAGGGATGAAGACCACCCTCAGGCAAGAGAAGAAGAGCAGACGACCCCCAGACCAGTCATATGGCAGTGCTGCCAGGATCTGAGGGGACAGCAGGAGTGTTTCAGTCAGGCTGTGTATTACACTTTGGAAAAACAAGGAAAACTATTCAAATAATATATGAAATATACGAGCATTTGCAGTTTTGAACTTAAGACCGTTATGTTCAGTAATTCTCCATTGCTTGGAACAATTTCTAAGGAAAGCACTTGTCAGGGAAAATAATTAAGAACAATAACAGTATTAGTGCAAAACAAAGTGAACCGTGAGAGAAATGCAAAAGAAAAATCCTTTTTACACTTTTTCAGTGTCTTATTGTGACATTTTTCTTTCTCTCTCTCTTTTTTATACCTCTAAGCTACCTTAATTTTTCCTTTTCCTTTTTCAATTTAATTCCTCTTCTAATCTCTTTCCCTTTTCATTTGAAGAAAAAACTCAATTTGCCGCAAGGACAAAGCCAAAGTCTACATAACAACTTTCACTAAACCAAAGTTGGTGCCTTCAAAGTCAAAATTATGACCCAAGGAAACCAGATAAGTTTCAGAGTGTTCGGATGAAGCCTCCGAGCTATAGTAAGTGCAATTATCCCACAATACACCAGACGTTTTACCAGTCTTACGTTAAATTAATGGGTTGACGACTTTAATGGTTTCACTAGGTTAATTCTGCCTTTCTGTCTTTCTTGTTCCTTTAATGCCAAGATGCCTGTAAATGGAAATTTAAATCCCAAAATCTCAGTAAGTGTAGCGTGAGAAGGGCAATAGCATTTAATGTTAATGTTAAACCAGTGAATTTTATACATTGGCAGTAAGTTAATACAGGCCCAGTTCCAAAAATGATGGGATTTACAACAGAACAAACCTAAAACTTAATTTAAAAAGAGCATCTTAGAGAGGCAGACTTTCAGCAATCTGCAAAAAAAACTGCATTTTTGGAACAATTTCAGTAATATTCCTCATCATCTGTTATACATAGTAGATCAAAAGATTCTGATAAATCTCTGTGTGCAAGGGACAAGGCTGAAAAACAGCTCAGACAGCGCTGCATTAAAAATTATGGAAGCCTGTTTCTGCCACACAAAAAAAGTATCCATAACTTGAAATTTTGAGTTATTTTCTTGAAATTTCGACTTATTGACTCAACATTTTGAGTTAGCGCTGCCAATCAGTAATCTACGTGAATCAAGTCATTTTCTTGTTACCTGGAAGCTGAAGCCCTCAGCTACAAATGCTACAGCTAAGCTACCAGTATTACAGCCAGTCATGAACGCACAAATTGCTGATTATTTTCTTCACAAATGATGAAATCCTTGTGTTATTAGCTGAATCACGTGGCGTTACTATCAGCAAACGTAATCTAAAAAGCCCCAATTTGTTGCGATCCAGTTTTGAGTGCGTATTCCTCTTTGCCGTATCCTTCCAGGTTGCAAGAAAATGACGCCATTCATGTAGATTACTGATTGGCAGAGCTAAATCGAAATGTCGAGTTATTAACTCGAAATTCTGAGAAAAGTAAGTCGAAATTTCAAGTTAATAAGTCGAAGTTTTGAGCTATATCATATGGATACCCTTTTTGTGTGGTGGAAACAGGCTTCCATAAAAAACAGACATGACTCTGTCATAGAAATCACTGTGTGGGCTCAGGAGTGCCTCCAGAAATCACTGTGTGTGACCACACTGTGCTATCCACGTATGAAGATACAGCTCCATCGTGCAAAGAAGAAACCATATTTTAAGATGATCCATGTTCTTTGGATGGATAAAGAACATGGATCAGCCAAAGGCCAGGCTTTGGATTTCTGTTTCCAAGCATTCCAAGCATTTCACTGCATATCGTACTGTGTATGACTGTGTATGTGACAAATAAAAATTTGAATTTGAATTTGTTTTTCATTCACATTTTACACAGTGTCACAAAAGTTTTGGAACTGGGGTTGTTCTCTACAAAGTGCTCTCCAAAAACTTAAATCCCTGGAATCAAAGGTTAAAAGTCACCACCATGAAACATATGAAGGCACGATTGTACGTCCTTGGGCTGGAAGCAGAATA